GAGTTCGGTTCCATAATACATCATCGTGATGTTCACAGAATTCCTAAGGTGATGGACAGGGCCATTGAAATGGCCTTAATATGATTTTTGTTAAAGCCTATGAGATTGTATTAATTACATTTCGTACAATATATTGTTATCTGAACAAGGTATAACAATATTGCCTTGATTTATAAGTTATTCACAAGCCCCCTGCACAACCTGAAATACCGACAAACATGTCATTAAAAAGCTGTCTTTCCTCAATACAGCGAAAGCCTGAGGGAGCCGACTATGCGGTGTATTTGAATACAGCTCAAGAATTCGATGGCTCCGACTCGGGTGCCATGCCTGAGGAAGCAGTATCGTGGGGAAAGATCAAGAGTACAGCGAAACCCGTTAAGGTAAGATGGTTTCCTTCCTCAAGCTCAGTTCACAAATGAATCAGTAAACCATACACCTAAAAGAAGCTTGCGTTAACATTTACATGAAACAAATCAGTTTTAGCTGTAAAATAACAAAGAAAATAAACTACAAGTGAGATATGTTGGAAAATAAGATTGCAAATTAAGGCTATTAGAGCAATTAGTGCACACGCCGATAATTGAAAGCTATGCCTATATTGCTAAGAGCGCACCAGTCACTGACGCAGCATTGCATCAGCAAGATCACCTCATTTACTAATACCAGATGCATACTATGCGTCATTATCCTGACGCAGGATTGCGTCACTGACTACCACACACTTTGAAGCACGATATAAGTGTAATGTCATACAGAAAGAGAATTAAGACGGCAAACCTTTTATTTCAATTGACGGCGTATGAAATAGTCCTTCACATGCTTGATTGGTGTAGGTAGTAACACAACTGAATTGACTCGTCCTGTGCGAAGGGCCAGTTTAAATTTACTATTATAATTATTATTATTGTTATTATTATTATTATTAATAATATTATTATTATTGTTCTTGAACATACAGGTTTTCGGAGAAGCATCCATCATATTCCCGCTCCTCGTAGCAGAGACCTTCGCAAAGATGGTATATCCATCATGCAACTGATCTTCTACAATCCAGGATTGGGAGGGGAAGGATTGTTAAATGGTGAAACGCTTTTTAACAAAGTGTTTTATTCCGGGGAATATTCCCCAATCCATACCTTTGGAGGGTGAGATTATGGATATGTGTATTAAAGCAAAGTTAGAATGGACAATAAAATCTTGAATCTTGAATCTAGAATAACATTTTCATAATTAATTGTAAATGTTACAGGAATGTAAATATAATTGTATGTACCTTTCATTTATATTTAGAAAACGAAAGGGTAATTATTCAGTTGTGGCGTGCGCCTGTAATCCAGCTAACAATGGAAGTTACAAGCTGATTCAGCCGAGGACAGAGGGGCATGACTGCCCACGTATATGTTGCGATTCAACAACCATTGTCAGATAAATTAATACATACAAGTACGAACTGTATCAATAAATCTGATTTTTATTGTAATGATGTTGCTTACTCAGATAATGATTAGATATCTTGAGAAAGCCTTCTATTATATTGAATTGGATTGATAATGGTTTTGTTGAAATAATAACAATGCACCGTAGCCTAAACGGCCGAATTGGGCAACGTTTTACAAATGTAAAATACAATACATAAAAACATTCATAGCAAATAACATTAAAATTAGTGAACGGAACATTAATTAGTAAATTGTATGAAATTATATTTAACTTTAAAATTCTTATTTGATCTCCCTAAATCATTTTATATATGTAGAAGATAAGGAAAAGAAGAGAAGAACATTATTATGGTGTAGAGTAAAGAAAGAAAAGAAAAGAGGATGATAAGATGGTAAGATTAAGAAGAAAATGAAGAGAAAGAAGAAGAGGAAAAAGTAGAAGAGGAGAAAGAAGAAAAGGAAGAAATAGAAGAAGAGGAAAAAATTAGAAGAGGAGGAGAAAGAAGAAGAGGAAGAAAAGGAAGAAGAAGAATCAATTAGGGATAGGAAAGGGAGACGGAGGGTTGTTTTCGGTCTGTTGAGGTTTGTAAAAGTCTCCTTTTTAATTCTCTTTCTTAAAAAATTCTTTCTTTTCCCCTCCCTCTCTCTCTCTCTCTCTCTCTCTCTCTCTCTCTCTCTTTCTTTCTTTTTCCATATATCCCCTCTCTCTGCCACATTTCTTGACAAACTTCTTTCAAATTTTCTACAGAGATGCATTATACTCTAATCTACACTTTTGGTGATGTTGCTCCTAGTCTTGACAATAGTCTGAGCCATTAGTGGCGATCTCTACGTCATCCTTTTGTTTCAAGGAGGGGAAGGGGATTTTTGTTCCTCCTTCGAACATAAGGATGACACAAAATCGTTGCCACTGCCGGGGGATACATTCGTATTGCGCGGCAATACAGATTGCGATATTTCGAGTTCCCCTCTCTCTCTCTTACTCTCTCTTTCTCTCTCTCTCTCCCTCCCCTCTCTCTCTTTCTCCCTCCCCCTCTCTCTCTCTCTCTCTCTCTTGCTCTCTCTCTCTCTCTCTCTTGCTCCCTCCCCCTCTCTCTCTCTCTCTCTCCATATCTCCTCATGAGAACTAGCATGCGATCGCTAATCTTTTCTTAGTCTCACTATTCCCTTTCCTTAATTGTTATAACCACTAAAATCCTTACATTTGATTCACTATGAACAGATTTGTCATAGATCTGTGGCAGTTGTGATCGATAACAAGGTTTATGAACGGGGCCCGGTATGAAGATATACACTTATGACTCAAATAGAATATGATACGTTTCACGTAGAAAAATTCTATTGTACGTGGATAATTACCCTTTCATTTTTGCATGTACCATACATTTATGTTAATGTTTCTGTAAAACTTACAAAAGAATACTCGAAACGAAATTATCCACATTCATTAATGTTCATTCAATTCAGACCATTTATTCCCACATTCGAGAAAACCCCAATAAAACTTGCGTATATAAACTTAAAACATAATAGGTGACAAGAATAATTGTTCAATGGCAGTAAACAGAAAAATGAAACATGTGGGTTAATAAATGTCGATTGCTTAAATACAGGTTGGTCACATAACAAAATAAATACAGAGAGAGGAAAGTATTAATTGACAATAGTCCACAACACTCGTGTGCATTCACCCGACCTTTTTGAGGTTTCCTAGAGCACAGCCCACAAGGGCTACATTTCCTTTTATCTGGGTTTTTGTCTTCTTCTTTAATTCATCCTCATTTTCTTTCTTCTATGTTTCTCTCTTACCATCTTTGTGTATGTGTACCTGTTCCTATGTATTTCAAAGGGATTTTCCTTCTATCAACTTCCGTTTCTTTAATCTTTGCCTATGAATGCTTTGAGAGCCTTTAAAACTTATGACAGTCTGCCTAAGTGTTTTATTATTGTTGACGTTTGTGTCCCAATCTGTCGTTCTACAAGTATTTAAACTTGCTGTTTCCCGCAACAAAATGAAACACGAGTTTCTTGAGATCACATGACAAGTCACGTGACAACCCATTGCTACTGTTTTAGAATAGCAACATTGCATAAACTGCAGCTTGTTAGAATGGTTTGACACTGTATAACGTCTGTTCAAACACTCACTCACATTCAACACAAAAACCGTGAAAGACGAAGTGATGAAAGACATAGTCGATGAAATCCCCCAAAACCAAAATTTAAAACAGTCTGATATTTTGTTTATGTCTCATCCAATTACGTATGATCTAATTACACATGTAGTTGGCTATTCGATTATTCAATTTCGAATTATGCTATATAATAACAGTTTGATTATATCAAACTAGATGCATGTAACGTTTACAAAAGCATAATTGTTCAATATTCTTTACTTCCTTTCTTTAAAAAACACAAATACAACCCGAAAAAATCCAACCATTTATGAAGAAATAATATTTTGGTTTAAAAATATCAATTAAATGATAGAAATCTTAATTTGAATTTATAATGAGCTTTCAGCTACTATCAATTAAAACATATCACATAATATTAAATGTCCAATATGCAACATTAAATATTTTTATCTAATGAATATAGTACTCTATGAATTATATTTCACATATTCATTACAGTTAGTAGATAACAATACCCCACACTAGGTGCATACTCTGCTATTTATTGGCTCGTTACTACTCTTCGTTTTAATGTATTTCTTTTTCTTTCTTTTTTCTGTATTGTATTGTATTGAACTCGCAAACAACTATTTGTCAAATTACTGCCGTCTTAATGTTAATTGTGTACCTCTCTCTCTACAGTAAATTTTTTTCTGTCTCTGTTATCTTTCAAGTCGCCCAGGAACCTATTCTTTACAAGCTCTGCTTTTCTATAAGTTCCTGCACATTTCATAGTTTGTACTTTTATCTGGGTTTCCTTTAAATTATATTAGTTGTCAAATAAATGTGATGATTACCTTGTCAATTAATATAATCATTTTTTTTAAATTATGAAACAATATGTCTTTTATGTATATTTTGTTATCTGTATTATTTCTGCATGTGAAATGTGAAATCAATAAACTCAAACTCAATAAACTCAAACTCTGTAATAATAAAAAGAATAGATAATCAAACCTATAGCTCTGTATTCCCCTCTTACACACAATATGGCAAACCGCTTCCCCATTTTACAAATTAAACCTGAATATTCATTAAAAGCATTTACAACCCATTACACGAGTGGATACTGGGCAGAACTTACCAAGGCACATGATTTCCAGAATCAAAACCGCCCTTTCTAGAATATCTCATTATTAGGAGTAGCAATATATCTTTCCCGTTTTTTTGTTTTCGAAAAGTAATATACATGTCCATACATGTAAGCCTAGTTCTCGCGGATAATTTTTGTCTATAAATATGATTTCGATGATCTCGCCATCCACCGGTGTGGAATGGGGATTGTTCCCCCCCCCCCCCCCAAAAAAAAAAGTGAGATAGAAAGGCTTTCACCATTTCCTTCTATTTTTTTTTAACGGGGGAGGAGGAGAACGTTTCGACCCCCCTCCCAATCATGGATTGTTGAAGATCAGTTGCATCATGGGTATACCATCTTTGCGAAGGTCTCTGCTACGAGGAGCGGGAATATGATGGACGCTTCTCCGAAAACCTGTATGTTCAAGAACAATAATTATAATGGTATTAATGATAATGATAATGATAACAGTAGATTTCAACAGGCTTATTGCACAGGACGCCTCAATTCAGTTGCGTTACTACCTGCACCAATCAAACATGTAAAGGACTATTTCATACGCTATTAATTTAAATAAAAACGTTTGCCCTGTTAATTCTCTTTCCTTATGACATTACTCTCATATCGTGCTTCAAAGTCTGTGGCAGTCAGTAACGCATTCCTGCGTCAGCATAATGACGCATTGCATGCATCTGGCATTAGTAAATGAGCTGATCTTGCTGATGCAATGCTGCGTCAGTGACTGGTGCGCTCTCAGCAATATAAGCATAGCTTTCAATTATCAGCGTGTGCACTAATTGTTCTAATAGCCTTAATTTGCAAATTTATTTTCCAACATATCTCACTTGTTAGGTGGTCTGTCGATGACAGATCACCTATTGATTTCGTTAGAATTTTCTTTCTTTATTCTTTATTCTTTATTCTTTATTCTTTATTTATTTTTATTTATTCCGTACACTTTTTTTGTGTATACGTTTACTCGAACTCGACCTGGTCAATTTCCTTCAAATTTCTGCTAGTCATCAGGCCCTATGATATGAAGTTCCCGAAACCTTTTTCAAGTTCATGGGGTCATCGTGACGTCATCCAGGCGCCATTTTGTAAAAATCAGGTCATTATCATATCTCAATAACGAGTAATCAAAAATAAACCATATTTAGTATACATCAACTTCCGGTCAAAGGTCAACTAAAAATGTCAACAAAATCGCCCGCTTAACGTACGCCCGCTTAAAATTTTTAAAATGCTCCAATTCGTCCCAAATTTTGTTTGCACACGTTTCAGGTCATTTTAAGCATTTCAAAATTTTCCGTCCGTAAGTGTCCCCGCGCGCGTTGCGCGCGCTCACAGCGCGCGTAAAAAGTCAAATTTAATTTTTTTTACATGATTTAGATTCCTCTTACCGTAAATGACAATTTACATTAATTTCAGTCACTCTTGACCTTTCATAAGGCCGTGAGCGCGCGTCAAAGTTCAAAATCCGCGCGTGCTGCTATGGGCAATATAATGCAAATTTGATCAAAAACATGCCATTTTAAAAATCAAAATAGCTCTTCAGATAGTCCATTGACCCCCAATTTTTATATCATGGTTGGAAAAAGCATGAGTTGGAGATATGAATTCATGTCTCATTTGATCCTCAATTAACTCATGACGTCATCATAATGGCCTCCGAACTCAAAATTTCAATTTGCATATTATGACGTCAGCAGATTTTTGAAAAATTGATTGTATCTCTGTAAATATTGATCAATTTTCTTTCAAATTTTGATATGTTCAACCTGAGAATATTCACTACAAATGCAGTCACAACGATATTTCATTTTGACAATGGTATCATGGCGTATTTTTGCGATTAAAGGAGGCATGTCAATTTTTCACATTTTGCGTGTATTCTCTATGGGACATGACTTTTTCTCAAACTGGATTCTATATTCTTGTCTTTCGCGAGCAATATCTCCGTCGTTTGATCTCTGTTTACGCTGAGCTTTGAGTATGTTGTAGCTGAGAAAATAAGCTATCACAAGTGTGCCCTTTATTTTTCGATCAGATGCCAGGATCATGCTCATATTTCACTTACAAAGTGGGATTTGATAATTCCATTTTCCGTTTACGTGTAATCTCTATGGGAAATGTTTTGGTATATCGGTAACGCACTTGACTTCCGACCTCGAGGTCCCTGGTTCGAGTCCGGGCGTCTCCAACAATTTTTTTTCTTCACTTTTTTTTCTTTTTGACCTTTCACTGTATCATCTCCTTTGAATATTTAAACACGTACAATCGCAAATAATGTAATAAACAACCATATTTACTTTATTATTACCCTATTATCACTAGATACATTACTTTTGGCGTGTAATCCTAATGGGAGATGACTTTTTCTCAAATCTGGATTCTACATTCTTGTCTTTTGCGAGCAATATCGCCGTTATTTCGGCTTGGTTTTAGTTGATTTTTGAGTATGTTGTAGCTGAGACTATACCCTATCTAAATATTCTCTAATTTTGTTCAGTCTGATGTCATCGTGGTCTGTTGATGATAATCATCAACATCATTATGATCATGATCATGATCATCATCATCGTCATCACCATTACTATCAAGATCATCATCATGATCATCATGATGATCATCATTGTTTACATGTCTACATAACTTCTCCCTTTCTCAATATAGTAAATATAATAATCTCTCATAAGACTTGAAGACAGACCACCTAATTCGTCCCCATGACGAATTAAATTTCTAGTTATTTATTCTCTTTGTTATTTTAACGTAAGCTCCTTTTATGTGCATGGTTGACTGATTCATTTGTGAACTGAGCTTGAGGAAGGAAACCATCTTTATTCTTACCTTAACGGGTTTCGCTGTACCCTTGATCTTTCCCCACGATACTGCTTCCTCAGGCATGGCACCCGAGTCGGAACCATCGAATTCTTGAGCTGTATTCAAATACACCGCATAGTCGGCTCCCTCAGGCGAGCGCTGTATCGAGGAATTAAAGACAACTTTTCTTAATACAATCTCAAAGGCTTAAAAAACCACATCAAGGCAATTTCAACGGCCCTTTCCATCACCTCAGGAATTCTGTGAACATCACAAAGATGTATTACGGAACCGAACTCCCTTCTCTAGGATAACAAGACACAATTCAGTTTTGAAATTGCTCTTGAGATGAGTTAACGAAAGTCTTTGCCACAGTCACACCTCCAAGCCGACAGACAATAGCTTGTCCTGGGTTATGTAATGTAGTGTTCGGTCTGTGGTCGGTCTCCTGTCTTATATCTAGTGAACTTAAAGAGTGTCTTACATGTGCGTTGGCCTGGCAGATGTGATGCTTCCCAATACCAGCCCCGACAGTGATCATACCAGTGTTAATGGATGACTGAGCTAGCTCGATTATACGATTACTATCTGCAATGAGAGAAAATAAAAATAGAACTCATTTTTTTCCTGCTCCCCTTTTCTCTCTTTCCTCCCTTGTTACCGGTGCCTTCATCCGTACTCTGCAGCAGTACGTCTCTTCCTCTCCCGGCTTATTCCCTCTTCTTTCTTTTCTTTTCGTCTCTCAACAAGCAACATAGTTTTTTTTTCTTTCAATCTTCAATGAATTCGTTCATTATGTATAATATTTATTTACTATATCTATTCTACTTCGATTGTATTTTATATTTTTACTGTAATATATATATGTTGTTGTGATGTTATTTCAGTGCCCCGAGGAAGAACAGCCTTTGTTGAATGAACTGCCCTGGTGAAGTATTAATGAATAGATTTTTAAAGTTTAAAAATAGACAAAAGGAGAACATTTATGTTAATGGTAAATAGAGGAAACAGAGAAGAAAATGAAGAAAAGGATCATAACAATTGCTAACATTGGAATTGGGATTGCTAATTGACCATTGAAATTATTTTCTTCACTCTCGATGTCCTCACCTTTCTCTGCTCCAACTCTCTCTTTCTCACAGATACTTTCTGGCACAAAAAAAGCTGATGAAGAATCAGAATGATTGCAGGACACTCTGTTCAAATCACAGACTAGATTGAATGTTTGGGTACTTTGAAATGTAAAATATGCGAAATGTTTATACCCTCTACACAAGATGCACATAGTTACGTTTAAATGTTTCGTTGACTGTATTCAATATTCTTCGTTTGGTTATTTATTTGTATTTTATCTGATTATGTTATTTGAACAAAATATTGTTATAATTTCAGGAATTGATTACAAATACACCGTACCTTCTGCTATGTCGATTCGTAGATTATTGTTCTTATTTCTTTGATGTAAATATAAAATCTCATCGCCTATTCCTCCGTCTGTGATGGCGGGGCTGAATACAGGAATATTGTTCTGAAAGAAGGGGAAAAAAGGATAATTAAATCCCAATTAATTTGATATCAAGTTGTCTTAGAATTTTTTCGCACTTTGGTTATTAAAACTAGTCATTGAAAGCTACTAAAGAATTATGTGCATGTATGCAGACATTGAATGATTTAAGGCTTACACTGGGTCACATGGTCCCCCTCCCCTTCAACATCCGACCTTTCGGTACTAATTATTTGAGCGAAACGAGTCATTAGATCGCTCTTGAAAGTATTTAAATAATAATAATAATAATAATAAATTTAATTTATATAGCGCTAAATACAAATGTCTCTAAGCGCTTTACAAATATATTATTACCCCGGTCATTGGATTCAGTGCTTACCCGCACACAATGTGTGCACAATCTCCACTCCCTGGGGAGCATTCCAGCCAGGCGTTACATGACGCTCAAAAACTGTTTGACCAACAATGACGGTCGCATCCTACCGGGTACCCATTTAACACCTGGGTGGAGAGAAGCAAGTGCAGGTTAATATCTTGCCAAAGGATATTAGTGCCGTGTCGGGATTCGAACCCTCGACCTTCGCATCTCCAAGTCAAGCGCCTTAAACCACTCGACCACGACACTCCCATAATACACTGACATACTGATTGGGAGGGGAGGGGGGGGGGGGGCTTATAAAATTCAAACATGGTTTATCTCTAATTCGATTATTTACAAATGTTGCCGAAATGACATGATTGTCGGTTTTTCCCCCTCATTTTTTCCCCCTCATTTTTTGTTATTTTTTTTCTTTCTTTCTCTCCGTCTTCCAAAAAGCTTTTGCTCATTACGCCACCGTTCATTCAGTTAATGGAATAACTTGTCACTAGGTCCCCAGGAAAGAAACATCCATAAATGTAAACGTTAGTAAACCGGTCTATTCAGCAACAATAAGCCACTTCGAAGATACATGAACTATCTGAACATGGACAGATAAAGGTCATTTGTACAAAACTGTAAAACCCATCGAGACGACTGCCGGACACGTGTTTATGAAAGTTATGTCATCATCATTCACATACATGCCAACATTTGAAAATCAGAAATCTGTACAAATTATGCTATTTTCAAAAAAAGAGGAACAATCCTAACTCTCCTATTCAATACTACAGACAAATTTGTACAGGAAGAGGAACACCTGCATTAAAATGATAATTATCTTCTCCCAAAAAGAGGAATGTTCCTCATTAATCTGAACAGTTGGCATGTATGCATTCACTTACATGTATGCACCAGCAGCTCATTTTCTGACACAGGTGATAGTATTCTTTTCAAGAGGGCAAACAACAAAAGGTTTTCATGAAGCATCTCCCATCACTTTGGCAGTGATAATTCTAAAAATGCGCAAAGTGGGACTGTTCCATGTTTATAGGATCTGTGGATATTTTGGGGTCATTTTTATATTAAAGTGCTATCTCAAAAGTGGCTTATTACAATTGCTGGATTGATTCCAGTTGTACAACAAGTGACCAAGCAACACAAAACCACCCAAAAGTCACTAGAAATGACTTTTTAGTTTAGTCCTAATTCTGAAGGGGTAGATTTTTAACTTCAACTTTTCATCACAATAGGATGTATCGTGTTCCTAACCCATTGAAATAAGGACCTGTCCCAGAGAATGTTATTTTCTAAAAAGCACACACCAAGGTGTTAAAAGGGGGATTAGACCTCTAGAGCAATTTACTTGGAAGGGCTTATCAGATTGTCCTAAAAGTTGGCGATCAATTATCAGCATCCTGATCTTTATTTGGTCTAGGTATCAAAGCAAAAGATCACTCTGCTCAAAGTTATGACCAGTTTACAAGGGTCCCCCCCCCCCCCAAAAAAAAAAAAAAAAAAAAAAAAAAAAAAAAAAAACAGTAAAAAAAGAAAGGCCTACAAAACACTGCAAAAAAACTTTTTCTAGATTGTTCGGTTCTTCAAAATTTTGAAATCAGAATAAATGTTTCAGGAATGCTAAAACCTAAAATTGATCAACCCGACCAAATCAATACACCTTTTACATGTATATTGAGCTCTAATTGAAAAGCGCACCATGCAACTATTTAGTGGTTTTTTGGTGCCTGGTTACATATTTAGCGGAATAAAAATAATAGCTAATACACCATCTCAGTACAAAAACGCATGTATAATTTCAATTACTTCCTTTGACTAGCTTGACCTTCACATCGCAATTTTCGATCTTACATCAGACCTGTTATTTCGTAGAGGTAGAGAAAGTCTTTTGCGATTGTCCGTTCCATGCGAGAAAAAAAATTAGGACGAGTGTCCGCTAAACTGCTGGATACAATTCTGCAGCAGGAACTGGCCATGGTTGACTTGCTCTTGGGTGCCTCTGATGGTGATGATTCTGTCTTCTGCGTCTGGGAGGGGATTGGCGATCTCGATCTCGGCTTGGCTTCGCGACCGGATGTTCCTAATGCGCTCACCGCCTCTGCCGATGACTGCACCCACAAGGTCATTGGGGATGGTGACTTGTGTCGTTGTGGCTTCACCGGCGAAACCACCATCGTTTCCTCCTGACCCATAGGCACCGCCACCGCCGTACGCTTGACCTCCAGAGCCGAAGATTGGGTTGCCGCCTTGCTGTCCCCCTCCCCCAACTCTACCTCCTCTACCTCCTCGCATCCCCATTCCTCTACCGCCTCGCATCCCCATTCCTCTTCCTCCTCGCATACCCATTCCTCCTCTTCCTCCTCCCATAGAATCGCCAAAGCCACCTTGATTCCAACCATAGCCTCCGCTGGGGTCTTGCTGCGATGGATCATAGAGAAGTACAGAACCCTTGATTGGGGCTTCACTGCACGTCACATAGATTTCACCGATGGCCAGGAGAACTGCATCTAGGGTGCAGTAGGGTGTTCATTGGTGGGACGTGCGATCACGACCCCCCCCCCCCCCCCACTCAGAGGTCGGAATGACCGCATGCGTGTTGCCAAAATGTCCGGTAAAGGGGAACTTTTCGTGCGACAAAGTCCGGCCCCTAGAATTGTAAAAAAAGGGGTGTATTTGACTTTTCACCCGGAGATTTCTTTAAAAAGGGGGTGTTTTTTCTTTTTTTCTCTCATCTTTTTGGACTCCTGAGAAATTATTCCGAATTTAGGGGGGTACATTGAGCATTTTTTCTGATTTAGGGGGGTCTCCAAGGCAGGAAAAGCCCGCGAAAGGGGGATTCGGAAATATTGGCAGTCCTCAGATAGGGGGTGCTTTCAAAAAGAGGGAACTAGCATATGCGTACCCTTAATAACATTGAGTGGGGGGGGGGGGGGGCGGGGATCCCGAGCACCCCGTTCAGAGATACCACTAGATATACATCAGAATAATTATGACGAACATAATTATTTCCTTACTTTATGGCCTGAATAATGTGGTAATAAGACATTTGCTCTGGTAACAATAATATTGCTCCAAGCTTTTTTTCGTCAAAGATAGTGAGTTAAGATTGCAATTATAATTTGGTTTTGGGGTTTATGAATAGGATCGGTACATTGTTTGATCCAAGGTTGAAATTTGGAATAACGTTATTGCGTGAAATTGACCAAGGGGCAATTGGAGCCGGAGCATGTAAAGGATGGGCCTATATGGTACAAGCTAACAATATATACCTTATATGCCCAATAATAGACTGACGATTCGTCGTTGATCTCTCGCCCCATTCTCGCTATCATCTTCGATGGCGTCCAGTTCATACCCTGTGTATTGAACACGAACGTTTGAAATCATTATTTCTACCAGGCAGAAATCAAGATACATACTCTCAAAAGATATCCAAACATAATCTTGAAGATTTCCGAGAAATCGACTCAAGAGAATCTCAAATACCATGTTTTGTATACAGTCAAACCTGCTTTCTTGACCACCTGTCTAAAAAGACAACTTTCTGTGTTTTCCTTCGGCGGTCGCCCTTAGACAGGTTTGACTGTACCTCAGAAGTCGTGTTTGGATTACGTAATAGTTCATAAAAATGTTTGCACATCTCAATATGTGATGGACTAGTCAGTTGAAATTGCCTTCAGTTTATTTGTTGACTAAAGTCTTTGCGATCCTGCTTGATACATAGTGTATAATCTTTGATTTGATATGACTTAAGCAGGACTGCACTACTTGAAGCTACTTGCGACCTCTATATATATCAAACAATGCATAAGCGGTACCCGTTTCCCCACGATCCCCTTTTTGTTATGTTAAGTGAGAGCTGATTTGATGAGATAACATCCTGTCAGTTACCATGTAGGGAGGTCTAATCCCTCCTGGCCAAACTAGTGCAGACAGGCTAAGTACAGCATAATCACAGACCAGGAAAATTGCTCATAAGAACTGGAACGATTAATTGCAACAAAAGCTATGCATGACAATTCAAATTGGAAAACAAATAGTAAGAGTGGTATGGGAACAATTGTTTGCTGTTATTTATTATTGGAAACAAAAAAAACTTTATTCAAATACAACCCATATCATTCTGTAACGACAGCTGTTCAAAATCGCTGTTTCGGAAAGTATTGGATTACATGTCAAAGTATCGAACATAAAACCAAATTGTTCTCATTAGTATGTATTTCAACAGATGACATGCTAAAATAAGTGCGTTTGTATTCATAAATTAAGTATGATTACAGCATTAACAAATAATTGCCCATTAGAATGCAAGATTGAATTATTTTACTCGACAGGCTTATTGACTCATAATGAATTTGATTTATTTGATAATATTTCTTATTGATTGCTATCAGTGATTTTTATGCGTTCTGTGATATCGAATTCCCCCACGTTTTATCTTCTCTGCACTCCAAATTGTTACCCTTTTTTTATTCCATCGTATCTTCATTCATAGCTTTCCAATATTTGTAGAGGCATTCAAATAAAATGGCCCCTCTCGTTTGAAAAATATAGACAAGTACGATAGTTTGCAGTTATGGAGAAGCAAGTTTTGTGTAATATACTTAATATGAATCGAGTAGATATGGATTTAGAAACAAAAATGATATCATCACGAGTACTAATTAAAAATCAGTATATGGAATGAACGTGGGTAGTACAGCTATCATGAACAATGTATATACTGTATATACATATCATGTATATACAGTATATATATATGAATACTAATCAAAACAGTTATATATATATATATTTATATTTATATAAACACACTGTTGTGTGTAACTTACATGCTTGTTTTGTTCGTCCATCATGTCCTCTAGAATAGGTTGCATGAAATCGGTGAAGTGGTAATAATGACTCTCTGGTACGAAGATATTCCCTGCACGGTTCACCCTCATCTTAAACATATCCGCTCCATCCGCACGGAAATCACCCACGTAGAAATCACCGTAACACTTCATGAAATCCTCTTCAATGCCTCCTGCAGTCGTCACGATACAGTCAACCTGAGGGGGTATATAAGACATTATTTTTTTCTTTTATTCTAGTTCACCAATATTTCATCAAACACAAAAGATACAAAGAGTTCCAAAGAATTCACAAGATTCACAGAGTTCAAATGGTACTTTGATTATATTTGAAGGGTTAATCGATCGGCTACAGCCCACGAAAGCGGCTCCAGTTAAACAACAGTCCATGAGACCGTAAAGCTGTAGGTCAATCAGGATTTCTAAAATTGATTATTTCGGTGGCAGATCAATATTACTGTTCTTCATTTTTAAAATTCATGACTTGTCCTTACTTCCCAACTACAGGTCTAACTTGCAAAAACATTGGTCTTCCAGATAGAACATTACCCCCAGGGTTTAATCCTTCATTGAAACCTGACCAATGAACAGTCTTCGGATTAGTTAGTGAACCACCAGCAGACTCTGTTATAGCAAGTGAATCTGGTGATTCCTTGGCGATACTCGTGTTGAATCCAATCGTGCCAAATGTTGATAAGATGGTGCATTCATGATACAGTTTACCAGCTACCGTCCCAAAGCTGGAGATCGCTGTGGGACGTCGAGTCGTTCACCTACCAGGTTGTTCTTGGCAAGGAAGCACATGGTTTCTCTAAGGCCACTTGTGATGATACTGGACGCATAACCTAGGAAGATGGTGCATTTAGAGGGCGCTCTATCCGTCCAGCTCTTCTCCATTATCGCTCGTCTCTCCTCCTCTGTAAGAGGCTCACGTTTCTTTGCCAGCTGAAAGAAAGATGGATACAAAACGCCTTTACTTATCCGTGAACAATTATCCAGTATTCAGAAGAGTGGCCTCTAACTTTACAATTTGTTCAACATTCCTTCAGAGGGGTATATAGCCAGCACTGGATGCCAAGAAAATAAATTCGTCACAACTAATGGACAAACTGGGTATACATCCTGCTTACTGTCTAGATAAAATCCTTCCTCCCTTAATCAATTTCTGAACATACAGTTGCTGCATACATGGTCAAACAACGTGCAAAACTAACGAAATCAAAATCATGTGAAGAATTTGAGTTTGGTCTACAGGTAGAACTATGGTTACCGTAGTTACACAAATCATTGCTTACCATTCTCTTCACCTCGTCGACAGCGGCGTCAAAGTGTGACGCTTGAAACCCGACAGTCCTCATCGACTCCATCATCTTGTTGTAATCGATGGCGTTGCTAAAGTCATAACCTTTGACCGGGATAGGATCATACGATGTCAATGCCGTTATCTTATCTTCGACGCTCCCCGATGACACGTCCACCGGAACATCACGGTAGGTCCACCGGAGTTGATTGGGCTCGGTGGCTGACGAGGGCGGGGAACGGGCCGATTGAGATGTTGGTGGGAAAGTAGCAATACATCGGCAGCAGAGACGAACAGAAGGTACTCGTACCGCCTGGAACATTGGCCAAGACATTGCAGTTCAAGCGTATCATCAACTGTGTATTTAAACAAAAGTACACATTATTTAATTTAGCAATCCATATATATTTCAATACACTTTCTATGTCGAATTAGGACCTATCCTGGTAATTCACTACATGCAAATAGACTGCTGCTGATAAGGTATATTATACCAAGGAATTTTAAGAGATGGATTCATATCTAGCTCATTCCTACTTGTATCATCTTCGATTCCGCCAGGAGAAATTATGTCTGGCATGTGCTTAAATTGATCTTACTTGAAGATACGTAGACACAAGATTTCTGCCTTGCTGCAAACTAACGGGTCCCTTTCAAAGGGAAATATGCTTTTCTAATGATAATTACTTTTCGCTACCACTCGTCTGATAATACGAGCAGTACACAGTGCTTAACTTTACAGGAAGCAAAGCAAAAGGAAATGGAGCAAAATGTCCTGAAATATTAATCAAAATTACTTGACTGGGCATCAGTGGGCACTAAACTGACATATAACATCATAAAGAAAGGTAATTGAACAAATTCACTTTTTATATTCGTGAGCTGGAGGTAATCGGAAAAGTGTCAAATTGCAGGTATAAGGAATGTATAATTTTACTATTTTTCAAAAATTAAAGCTGCTATCAAACAATGTAAGCATATTTCTTGACACAATTAGGCTTTTGTGTTAATATTTTATCATATGTTCGATTTTCCCTTTGTTAGTTCATATAAGAAGTCAAATATTAAGTATATTTCTTTGTGAAAAAAAAATCACTACTCAAGCTTTCCAATGATATTGGCGGCTTCGAACCTCGGACATCAAAGGTAACAGCACACCTGTAGATTCCATCGTGCAACCTTATAAAACGGCTGCTGCCTGGAATAATTTGTTGCCAGTTGGGTCTCCAGCTCTTAAAACTCCTTGGTCAAAGGTAACGACCAGATTTGTGTTAACACAAAGAAGCCCTTGATATACAAAAGTCAATCAGTACTTTATTACCTAGCTCGCACTGAACAGCAAAACAGGTCTCCTAAACCACCTCGCGGCAAATCTTCAAAGTTAGTACCAAAATGTGCGCTGGCGCTGACAGTGGTGGAGTGTATTCCAGCTCGCCAAGAGTGAGAGGTGCGGGCTCTCATCAGTATAACATGTAAATCACTTGTCTTCGGTTTCGTCACGACGATCATTAGCCAATCCGATACATCAGCTGCAGTAATTCCGTAAACCACCATTAACATAAAATCAGTTTAATTGCACCTGTTTTATTTCGTATTTATTTCACAAACCATGAACAAAAAAACATATACACGAATAAAATATAACCTATATGGGAATTAACATATACAGTTGAAGATAAACTTTAGTACTACTGGTAATGCGATTGCATTGTGAAAGAAAAGGTGTGGAAAGGATCAGAAACAGTTGATCATGTAGCATGTAAGTATTGGTGTGCACTGCAAGGTTCTGGAGTCTTCAAAATCATAATAAATTTGACCGAGTCTTGGTAAAGTAACAAGCACTCACATAGAAAGCTATATATGGGACAACACACATGGTGTCGGGGCTAGTACTACCTTGATTTCCTTGTCTTTCTATGCTTATTACTCAGCCAGTATACATTTTCTTCCAAAATTGTTTGGCACATGTCATTTATTTGTAATCTTGAACATTCAGTGTAAGTTTCGTTTGATTCTGTGAGAATTATTTTTTTTTTCACCAGTACTGGAGTTTATCTTTAAGATACATTACTGTCAAAAGATAAAGAAACATAATTTTGAAGATTTTCGAGAAATGATGATCCACAGCATTTGTATGGCGCCATTTTTCTATTTCAAACATTCAAAAGCGCCTGCGCCACTAATAGTCATGGACTACACTTTCACCTGAAAAATGGGTATCGAGGCCTGACTTAAAGGTTTCTAGCTTGTCGGTGTTGCGAGAATAGGAGAGAGTTGTGTGTGTTTTTCATAAGTCAAGAATGTAAGGCGATCAGGTTGGATCACATACTTTAGGATGTAGGCTGTCACATTCTCAAGAATACAAATCGGGCCAAATCATTTGTTTCCACATTGTAGTAGGTCCATGGTAGTAGTATTGGAGAATCTCTAGTTTAAGCGATGATTGGGCGTTGGAGTCTTTACATACAATTATCAACTTCGTATTTGATATGAACTTACCTCACATCCAACCAGTACAGACGGACTGATGCAAAGATCACGAATGATGCTGTATATTGTTCTATCCACTGTTTTATGAATACCATTCATAAACATCTAGCTGTGAAGTCTATAAGGAGATCCTTCGGAAGAGATTAGCTGGATGTAATATGCGATGATGTCTTAATCTCGAAAACCTACGCCATGGAGCTCATTACATAATGCATTTGTATGACTGTAGTCAGTCCGGCGGAGTCTCGTGATGTGCTGATATTGTTTTTTGTAGAATAAAGTAGTGCATTCAGACGTGGCCGAACCAAGGATAAACTGTACATTTGAATAATAAAATGAATAATAACAGAGGGCGTGTATAAAGCGGGAGGCATACCTGGGAGTCTATTCCCTATGCGCCAGGGCCATGCATGGGGCGATCATGCGTGAGCTTTGACTGTCATGGCATGCAGAATACGCCAAAACAATACCTCCAATCAGGGACGTGATAGAGAAGGACTGGAATCAAGCCGCTCTCCTTTGACCCCATGCTCCAAGCCGCCGAAAAGTTATGCGCTAATCTTCAACTGTTGACCAGGTGGTGAGATAAGAGAGCGCATGACATTTCAGGATTTAGAATTCCTACATCAGAAAATGGTATCACAGCAACTGTTCGCTGTCCCTTCCAATGATTTCTCATCCATTGTTGAATGTGTAAAGAGTAGAACAAGCGAACACAAACTTGTGTAATTTCATCCTTTTTTAAACTTGAAAAATACAACAACAACAAAACACGCGAAAACACGCATTAGCAAACTTAATGTTATTGAAGATTGTAAATCATGGATCAAAATAACGGGACATTAAAGCATGCACAAATTAGCGCATCATCCTAAAATATTGAGTTTTTGACAAGATGTAATTTTTCTTTTACCAACTCTGGCACACAAATGAAAGGAAGGATGGAGTTCTAAATTTGAAAATTTGTTTGATGTACTATTCCCAATAAAATCCCCATATAAAGTTTTTGATTTACACTGAAATTTTGCCGGTAATTTAATATTTTGTAATAAATTTAAAATTGGTGCCAGGCTTCCGAAAGTCTTCGCAGTGGAAGCGCGGTTCGGAGCATGGAACTTCAAAGCCAAGTGGAATGTTACACAGCCCATTGTTATGCTTTAGAACTCAAGAATGCGTTTGAATAAATTACAAGAGTTTCGTCTCCTTTTCTTTCACCTCCCTGCTCCAATACAAACTTGGCCATGATCTTCCTTTCTTAGCCGTTATAAACACGTAAACACCTACACGGAGAGCTGATGAATAGATTTAATGATTTCATAAACCCGATAGAAGACATGCAAACAATGCAATATTATTATGAATTTAATTAATCCCCCCGGCCCCCCCGTCCTCTCTGAATGATTTTAAAATGTTTTATTGATGGTATTAAAATACTATTTATTCTCGGAATTCTGCGCTTAAAGAGATATCGCGTCATGTTATAAAGGGAAGACTCGCAGAGGGTTTCTCAAGAATAACATGATAGATTTAAATTGAATTGGTGTTCTAAAACCGATGCATTTAATTCAATTGATCTTGTTACATGGATAGGCGCTGATCACGTGATCGTAGGGAGATACACGTGATATGGAAGCCCATCTTAAGTGTTAGGAGCCCCAAATTCGCCAACAATGTGATGGACAAATTCACTTAAATTGTATCATAATGTGAACGAGTAGGTCATTTAAGACACATTTCTGCACAGACCCCTTCAAAAAACATTGATAAAAGTATACGTAATTTGGGTTTGTGTTGTATACGCAGAAAACCAAAATTGTGTATCCTTTCATCAATATTCGACTTCAAACACATTTGTTTTTAAAATTATTGCAGAAATGTGTTTAAATGACATCCTATTTTACATTATTACAAAATTTAAATAAGCCATTTTCGTAATGTAACCAAATTTAATGCATAAGTCTTTGTGAAGTGCCTCAATGCAAATTATTTCATTCACCTGAAAAGAATAATAGTATTTCAATAGACAGAATCCGAATTGCATACATTAGTTGTTGCCAGGTTGGACAAACATTATGGCTTGACCTACCTAGCAACACTTAATATATGCAGCTTGCATTCTGACTATTAAAATACTATTATTCTTATCAGGTGAATGAAATAGCTTGTATTGAGGCACTTCACAAAGATATATGCATTAAATTTGGTTACATTACGAAAATGGCCTATTGTATTATAATAATACAATTTAAATGAAATTTTGCCATCAATTTTCTTTTTTTTTTCTTTTTTTTTTTCTTTTTTTTGGAGGGGGGGGGGGCGCCTAACACTTTAAAGGTGCTATTGACTCACTTATGGGAGATCCTGGGTTGGATCTTTGCTTGGTGCTTACTTCCTTGTACAAGCTACTTTGCCCAACATGATTCCCTCTCGACCTAGGTGTATTAAATGTGTACCTGGTACCTGGCAATGCTGGGGTTCTCATCATTACAGGGCCTGTATGGAGAGCAGTATAGATACTGATTGATTGAATTAAATTTATTAAACCATATGTATGTAAAAGCAACATACACTAGAACGTAGAATACATAAAACATACAATATATGGTCAGGGCCACAAAGAAGCGAATTGCTTATAAATTCACCCACCATACCCACACACACACACAAACATATACACACATACATATACTACTGCATACATACACAAACCTACACAAAATACTGTCTCGTTTCATATTTTCAATTAGATGTTTGCGACAAATATTTTTGAAATAAGATTAAGTTGAACTTAATTTTTTATAGAAGTGGGTAATTGGTTCTATTTCTTCACGCCAACAACATTTAATAAATTAAGGGAAGAAGTAAGTCTTATGTTGGGTTGATGAAAGTGGTCTTTTTGACGAGTGGCTTATGAATGGATATTTGAATTTTGAATAAATATATTATTATGCTTCACATAAAAATGTTATGTCTTACGAAAAACATAAAGAATTAGAGTATTGAATATAATCCAAACATATACAGGCAAGATTTACATCTGTTCAAGGAGTGGTATATTTAGACTTTGCATTTGTGACTTTGTTATATTTCTTTATTAATAGAGACTTTTTCTGTAAAAAGTATACTTTTTCAGATGTGATTTATAAGTATTTCCCCAAATATAGTTGCAGTGGTTTAGATGTGGTAAAGAAGGCTATTGTACAGAATATATAAAACATTACTAGACAATATAAATGCTAATTTAGAAAGCCTGATACCAACATATTTAGCAAGTGTCTAAGAAATGTGGAATATATATATGCACATTCCAATCTAAAGACTCATTAATTGTAACACCAAGAAATCTTACATTTTTCAAATTGAATAATCAATAACAGCAGGTGATAAATTATTGGGCCCTTACCTGTTCCTTGACCTAAATATTACATAATTTGTTTTAGTTACATTAAAATGTAATCTATGTACTTAAGACCATAAAGAAACTTTAGACATTTTATTGTTTCACTGATGTGGTAAGAGGCCTACCACGGGTAAATAATTCAAATTACATGAATCATCCTCATAGATAATTCGTAAATGTGGTTTTCCGCGCTTGCCGCCCAGTATAGCTTGAGGACCAATTTATGTAAGGTTGATCAACAGAGAGAGAGAGAGAGAGAGAGAGAGAGAGGAAGAGAGAGAGAGAGAGCGAGCGAGAGAGAGGGAGTGGAGAGGGGTGTCGACGAGTTTATATTCCGCATTTTCACGATTTGATATAACTAATCATAATTTTAAAAGAGGGCATAGTGGAAGTAAGTTAGTTGCATAGCATTTGATGAGTCGTCAATGGAAAAAAGCCTACAGGTGGCGCTCTTCCTATTGAAGAGTTTTTCCAGCAAGAGTCGCGTAGTGTCGCATCAGATAAATAAATATTGGCCTACCCTTAAGCATGTTCTCTCACACTCGAGAAATCGATGACTCAGATGAACCCCTCTGTTTGAAAGGATGCTTTTTTTTTAATGAATGAGATATTGCTCTCTCCGAGAATAAATAAGCTTCCCGAGATGCATTTACTCCAAGTCTGTGATGATATAATATTTAGAGAAAAAACAACAACAAAGAACAATCCATATTGAAATGTGAAATATCACGTGTTTTGTACTACATTATCGAGCTCAAGGATTACACCAAGTCATGCCGACTTCTGTTTTGTGTGCACAATGTGCGTACGTTTGCGTACTAAAAGGCCTGAAGATTATTTGCGAGCAAGCAACGTGAGTTGACATTTAAACAAAAGCATTAATGAAGGCATTAGATAATACAACAGGCATTCAACTTCAACTTCAACAACGGCATCAGTCAAGACATATTTCTACAATAGGGCCTATTTTCTCATTCAATGTCATCCTTATGTAGATCATGTAGATAGCCTGTCAATTATTTAGGTTCCAATGCAATTAAAGTTGACGTAAGCCTCTATAAGAGGGCACATTTAAATAGTAGAGGAACTTTGAAGAGGTGCACACCCTCTTGAGCACAATTTTTTTTCTTGTTGGTTACTGCTCAACGGGAGGGGGCGGGGGTATGGAGCACCATTATTTTTGTAATCAACACCTCCCCCTCTTTTTAAGGCGGGGGGGGGGGGGGGGGGGGGGTCGCGCGAACCTCCCGAACCCGTAGTTTGTACAGGGGTACAAAATGTTTGTTCCACCTTTACATATGCAGGTAAAAGGTGAATGAACTAATTTATAACGGGGCACTGTCTTAACAACAATTTATGCATAAAATGTGATTATCTTACGAAAACGGTGGAGTATTTTGTTTGGGTATTCATTTCTGTGAAAATAATCATATTGTGTAGTTTCAGAAATGGTATTGTACCTAAGCTTTGGGCAAGCTCTAATAAAAGTCTAATCAAACACAAACACACAACAATTTTGCTCTCCTTTTTTAGCCGTTTTTAATTACTTGTTAAACACAGAATTAAACTTCTAAGAATCGTTATACGAATTAAAACACATTTTTATTAATACACGACAAATTTGAACTCCTACCTTGCGTCTCAAAATAAAAGCTCCCCGAAACAAAAGGCCCTTTCAAATAATTTTGGAAAAAATTGATAACATTTTCTTCAATAAAGATTCCCTAATAATGATACTGGTACGATTTGCCCCACATGAATGAAAGTATGTTATTCTTTTTTTTTTAATGGGCCACTCTGTCTAGGCAGGTGCTAGTTTGCTGGGACAAACTCTTTTCAGTCGCTGTGCGTAACAATGTCTGCACGATGAAACCAATCAGATGTGTGTGTGAAGCTCCTTATATTATTGAGGC